TGTTCTGTACATAAAATTAAATTTCTCTTATTCTAAGTATATTGTTAGGTTTATGATATCTTTTCAAAACTATTTTCATTGTTAAGCACGTTTAGGAAATTTTTGGATATCGACGGATTGTCCGACAATCATAAACATGAATATTAAGTATTATAAATTTCTACCCTCTGAGTCAACAACCTTATCATTAGAAAAATACATAGTTCACTCGGAGGCGTTGTACCCCCGTATCTTTGCTAACAGCAGGGACCGCCTGCCGACCCTAAAGCTATAAAATTGTCGGCACTTTAAAATTTAGAGAATTCATACATCAGCCTTTGATTCACTAACATTCATTTTTACCTTATTCGATTCTTCGTTTATTTAATTACACTAGTTTATATTTCATGTATCATTCGCCTTATCGTAGTTGTACTAGTTCTTTTTTTATTAAATTATTTTTAACTGAAAAATCAGTCGTTTTACTCACGTCACATCGAACTATTCTAGTGTAGTACATTCACACTAGAAGTGCAAGCCGATTAAGTTTTGCACAATTTTACAGGTATAAATAAAATAATAAACTAAGTGACCAGTTAAAAACCATGTGGGCAGAAGCAAACGAACTTCACCAACCATGCAGCATTGTATAGGCTATAGATTTCTCTTCTATCTAACTGACCTGGAAACCTGCCTTTGAAGAAACCTACATACTTGGAGGCGAAACGTTGGTGTGGTATCAATAAATAACAAACTTTCACCCCATTGGCTGTACTTATTTCATTTATAACTTAACGTAGGGGAAGAAATTGGAATTTGTCAGAATATTTGCAGCGAGTTATTCAATGGTTTCGAACGAAAGAAAATTTAGTTTACCTACTTCAAATAGTAGGGTCCACAATAAAAGAGGATAGGTTTGATGTCTTAATGATAATAAAAAGCGAACGAGACCTTTTCGATGCTCTTGACCCAAACAATATGATATATTTTTATTTATACATACGTATTTTTACACAATTGCATCCCTGTAGAGTGTTATTTGTACGTAGGGGTTTTGTGTAGGTATAGTACTACATTAGTTAATTAGGCCCCCCCTCAAGGGCCTGCTAGTTGTTTTAATTTTAAATCGACTACTTTTGCAATATTTCATGCATTTTTAACCGAAGAGTGCAATTTTTAACAGCTTCATACTACTATGATATGTAAATGTTTTAGGTTATTTAATCACAGAAATGTGGTATGCCTTAAACAAAAGTAATATATTGAGAAATCTAAATAAGTATTATAAAAAAAAAAACGTTAATTCATGATTTTAGCACCAAGATATGCCACACCAGATCCCAGAATAGCACCACCTGCTGCTCCGAGTGCTGTTCCTAAACCTGGAACAACGCTTCCAACTGCAGCCCCTATTGCAACTCCGCCAGCCGCTCCACCAGCTAAAAATCCTCCATAATTGTTGTCGGATGTTCTTGTATCAAGTAGTCCATTTCTATCTATTACCTCATTTCCTGCCGCTGAAACGATTTGCGAGCCCGCATGAGTTAGAGCCACTCTACCAGCCGAACTCAAAGCACCACCACCAAAATTACTAGTTTGTTGATATCCGTATGGATTGTTTTGTCCGTAGTACTGAGGTTCTCTTTTATTTCTCCTTAAATCCGTTTGAGAGGCAGTAGTTTCGATTTTTTCTACGTTCTTACGTGGTTGCTGCAATCCATGATAACGAAGGACAGCAGCATTTGCCGATGGCATTACACTGTTGGCTATCGTACCTATTCCTAGTAATCCTAAAAAATTGTATCATTTCAGTAGTACACTTTTAGAGTATTTGAGAGCAACCAGATTATACCTATCAAGAAAAAAGTAACCACCATCACAATCCATCCAACATTCCTTTTTTCGTTCTTCATCGTACCACAAAAGTTCTATAAACAAAATAATGTTGAATTCTGTTAGATCCTTGATGATAGATTTATAGTTTTTGATCAGAGAGTATATGATCCAAAGAAAACTGTCAAGACGAAATCTTTTTATTTTGCAACGTTTCGTGCTTTATAACTGCTTCATCAAGCGCTCATAAAATAAATGTCCTCGACATAGTCATGAAAAATGTTGTATCTTTGTCGTATTTCATTCCGTCTTGGAAGTTTTATTTGGATCCTATATGATCTTATCAAAACCTATAAAAAAATATTCGTAACATTTAAAAAATAAAAATGCGAATTCGTAGTTATAAGTCAATATTTCTTTATTCTTATTCAGGAGTTGAGCCAAAATTCACTTCAGTAATTAACTTCAAACTTCCAGCGAATTATTCAAACTTTTGAGAAAATATGAAAATAAGAAAGATAATATGATCAAACAATAAGCTATTTTGTTTTAATGCTATTTTGATCGAAAGGTCAAAGGAATTTTATTATAATCGATCTTTAAGAATCAAGAATTAATACATTCAATCTAAATTTAGTCTTTCTAAATGCTACTCAGTTTTTCTAAATTTTGAGGGTTAATTTTCTAATTTCATTCATCTCGTTTACCCGTACGTGCTAAAGCTTCTCAATCCAGCAGCCTGATGATGAGGGTTGTATGGAATGATGAGCTATCCATTTCCCATTTAGAAAGAAGGTTTCTGTTTTCAGATGCAAGGGATGGTTTCCAAGATATGCTACAAAACTGTACCATCACCAATGGACTCTATATAGAGAGTGAGTGAAGGTGTTAATTGAGTTCCGACCTCTGGTCAGAACGTTATAGAATGTCATAGACCTTTCCTGAATGCTGCATATCTACAGGGTTCGAAATAGTTATAGAATTTTCTAGAAGGTTAGAGAATGTCTTTCCAAAGGAGTTGTGAGTAAATCAGAATTTACGGTTTTGCAACAAATATAAATGTGAACGATATCCTTGTTAGTATTCAAATATTCGAACAAATCCTTCAGAATATCATATTATGTAGAGGCCTGACGCTGGAAGCTGGCGGAAATTTTAAAATGGCGTGCATACGCGGTGGCAAAAGTAGCCATGTAGATTCCCTACCGTTTTACCTGTATTATGTGCATATTATTGCACGTGTGTTTAGCGTTTGTCGACATCCGCTTTCAAATATTGCGCCGTCTATTAAAAATTACTTTGTCGGTGTTAGCGGCCGACATTCGCATAAGGGATGAACTTAGGTATAAAAATAACAAATTTGTAAGTTTTTAGTCACTTCANTTTATTATAAAATTAAAATCTTTACTTTTATTTGAAAATAACAAAATTAAAAATATTGTACAAAAATTTCAAACTTAAAGACTATTAAAATAGCTAATTATTATTTTATCTATTTCTGAGCAAAAATACAGTAAGGCAATGTCAAAAACAGAAAATTTAATATTTTGTTTTTGAACCGGTAAAAAAATATTTCAAACTTTAGACAGAATATTATAAAAGCTTCAGGAATAACACTTCAAAATTCCATACGGTTCTTGACATTTCAAGTATTTATGATGGACCTAGAGATTTTAAACAGGAAAAATTACTGTCATAATTCAATGAAACGTTTTTCGTTTCCATTGTTATTTCTTTTTCCAGTGGGTTTTGGAGATTAAGGAGTCCATTCCTATTTTAGTATCTTGATAAGAATATGAAATCATTTTAAAGAAGTTGGGATTAAATATCGATGCTTTTTAATGAGAAGCATTGAAATTATATCAAAAGAAAATGTTTTCGATATTAGTCAAGTTGCAGCCCTAGTCTGGATTCGAAAATCGTTTAATTGAAACATTCCTCAGCTCATCTAGAGGAACGTTAAAGTGATTTTTCATCTTTAGAGGAAATAGTCCTTAACTTCTCTGTAAATGTACCAATAAGGAACGATTTTTTGAAAATGAAGAGAAGCGGTAAGATTTCTATGGAGAAATCCAAACTGGTGGGCCCAGATACTCAAAATTTGGAGAAAGTATTTCTTGAATCCAAATCTCTAAATACACCAATTTATGTGCGTTGACTATTGCTCAGTCAACTCACAACATTTAAAAATTCACAAGCCAATCATAAAATTTAAACATAGATACTTACAGTTTTGTTAGTACTCGTATCAACAAATTATAAACTTTACTGTTATCGGTATAACATGTAACAATTGTATTCGGTGTAATAATTACTAACTGAAATAAGATTCATTTCTTATACACAACGTCCCCTCCATCGTCAACAAGTTCTTTTGATATAAGAATAAGAAAAGACGTTCGTCGAACCCATTGTCGACAATTATTGTTATTTCGTAGGGTTAACATTATCGTAAAACTCCAACATAAATTAAACAGTAATAAGAAATATTGTGTTATGCTTTTTTAGTAATAATATGTCAAGGTCTGTTTTTAATCAATTTTTCTCGTTCTGATAACCGCAAGATTAACCCTCTAACTAAAAACGATGCGTCGATTAAATTCACAATCAGCGAAAACTGTGCTTCCTGTCATCCAATGCGTAAAGATATAAAAATATCAATTTATCGGTGAAAGGTTCTATTGTTTTCTCAATGTCAATTCAAAAGGCCACAGTCTTAGGACTGACTACCTTATGATGATGAATGTATTGGCTAGTGAAATTAATCTTTGTGAGGTAAATTTTGTTTTATTCTTTCATTTCAAATATTACTTTTCTGTTCAGGGTAGATTTTGGAACATTGAAACCGATTCATATTTCTTCACAAAGTATTAAATTTATTTTACTTTTATGTTTCATTCAGTAATAACCTGTAAGCAAAATATAGGTGTCTAACTGAATTCGGCTTCATTATCCGATACTTACCCGGCCGGATCCTAAAAACTGTGCCTTATCCGAGTACCCAGTCCGTTTCTACTTGTACAAAAATTTCTTCACGTTATGACTATTATACAGTAGAACCTCTATAACTCAAACATTAAGGGAGACGCCAAAAAGTTCTAGTTATAGAGTTTTCGACTTATGGAGAATTTTGACTTAGGCTGATAAAATAAACACCTGACACCAAGCAAGCAAGCACGTGTTAATGTGAGTCATAAATTCCTTGAGTGGTAATACTATTTATTGTATACTCCTAAATTGTTTTCTAAGAAGCAATTGTCGGAAAGTCCTTAAAGTCAATAAGTTGTAAAGGTTGTAAAATAAAACATTGCTATGTTCGAGATACAGAGGTCCAAATTAATTTTTCAAGTTATGGAAGGAAAATATGTACCAAAATGTACCAGGGACTCACTGATTATTTCGACTAATAGAGGGTTGACATTTCGAGTAATGGAGGTTTCGGAGTTTGAAGGAAAGGGGACAAAACATTTTTTCGAGTTTTGGAGGTTTTCGACTTATCGAAGTTCGACTTAAAGAGGTTCTACTGCAATTACCTACCTACTTTCTAGTTTTGCTTGACGATCTCGAAATTTATAAAATTGGAGGATTCAAAATAACTATATTTGAATCTATACCTATCAAAACCTACATTCCCATAAGATTTTTCCAGATAGAGATAGTGCTTAGGCATAGAGCAATATTTCGATAGAAACACCGCCACTAACAGACGCAGGCAAAACGTCGCAAAGAGAAAAGCACTAAGTGCAAAATTAAAACTCAAAACAAAAGTGTTCAAACAGATCGATAACATATTTAAAAACTTACAAACAATAATTGTTTCTACCTAGTCAGTCATTTTTATAGATACTACAGAAAATTGTAAATTTTAAAGGTCACGGTTAAAAAACCCGAACAACATTTCAACAAATAAGTACATATTTTATTATCTTTAGTTGTGACAAATCGCGATATTTTTATGAGCTTCTGTTTATTAATAAAACACTAAGAAGTGCGCGATATCTAATTTCCTGTAAATCTGTAGTACTACCATACATTACGGGGTTATCAGCCATGCACTTTATAATCATAAATAATACAAATACACTGAATGTCGGTATTTCCCATAAAGCTGGATAAAACTAGAATCACATTATATGGGCCAAATAAAAAAAAAACTTTTTTTTAGTATGGTTCCTGTTATTTTTGTTCAATTCTGTTTGATAAGGTGAAATATCCGGATATGTAGAATTTCAATAAATTGCATTGACACATTAAAATAAAAAATACATTATATAAATTAGCTTTCGTATTTCATTTTACCAACAAAACAAACTTACTATTAAATTATCATAAAGTAGTAACATTTATTTACCGAATATAAATTGTCCTTTCCGTATCTCTTATTGGTAAAAAGAAATTTTGAAGATTCGCGCAGCTAGTCTGAAATAGATCTCATATCAAAATTTGTTGGGGTAGGAGGGCGTTTTCTATCTATTTGTAACGAATCCCAAAAATGTATAAGAAACGACTATAAAACAATGATCCTGGAAATCCCAGGATCCAAGTTAGCAGGGTTGGATGAGACATTTATCTGGTGGCCTATTCTTGGTACGACCATCTAAATGTGATAGGGTAACTCGGCATTTCACTCGAAAAATTTTACAACTTGTTTACAGTTTTTCGTGACAAAAATCTTAACGATAAAAACAACGGCGTGGTTACTTTAATACAGATTGTATATTAGATACATTTATTTTGGCATGGTTCCAACTCTCAACATTTGTTGCTAGTTTATTATAAATAATTAACGCTAAAAATGCACATTTTTGCTTATAAAATGTAGACTAAGGAACAGTCTCTTTGACAGCCCTGAGAAAATTTGATGTTTTTAATTTTTTAATAGTTTTTAATCCAAACCCAAAACATGAACCAAATTAACTTGGCAGTTTTTCTGATAATGAAAGCATGAGTGAAAAGTTAATTAAATGGACCTATTTATCTTAAGTAAAGTGGATGTAGAATTCAAAATTTAACAAATTCACAGTTTCAGGATTTCTGTTTGTCAAGTTGTCATCTGTAATATCACAAAAATAGATTGTTGTTAAATTCAAAATATAGCAAATTCAATTGCATAATTTCTGTTTGCTAAGCTGTCATCTATAGTATCACAAAAATAGATAGATGTAGAATGCCAAATTTAGCAACTTCAAGTTTCAGGATTTCTATTTATGAAGTCATCATCTGTAATATCATAAAAGTAGGTAGTTGTAGAATTCAAAACAAATAAAGTTTCAGGATTTCTGTTTATTAAGTCGCCATATTTAGTACCACAAAAATAGGTGGTTGTTAAATTCAAAATTTAGCAAATTCAGTTTCAGGATTTCAATTTTTTAAAGTCGTCAATCTGTAGAATCACAACAGTAGGCAGTTGCACAATTCAAAACAAATTCACAGTTTCAAGATTTCAGTTTACTAAGTCGTCATCTATAGTATCACAAATATAGAAAGTTATAGAATGCCAAATTTAGCAAATTCGCGGTTTCAGGATTTCTGTTTACCAAGTCGTCGTCAGTAATATAATAAAAGTAGATAGTTGTAGAATTTAAAACAAATTCAGTTTCAGGATATCATCAATATCAGCTTTAAAATAGAAGTATGTCACTCTGTTACTAATGTTACTATCAAATAATAGGCACCAATTCGAGAAAGTACAGGGAGACTGGGTCATTCTTTTTAAAATAACGAGGGGACGGAAAATGCCATTGCTTCGAAAACATTTTTACTTATTAATTAAATAAATCCTTTTGACTTGTTAGAAAATATCAAATTTGAAATCGATGTCTCTTTTCGTTTCATATAAACGTCTAATGAATGTTATACAATTCAACAGTATGCGTCTTAAAATACCTACCAATTAAATTGGTAAAAATTATACAGTTACTACCTGTTCGCATTTAAAATTTAGACTTTTGAANGATGTCTCTTTTCGTTTCATATAAACGTCTAATGAATGTTATACAATTCAACAGTATGCGTCTTAAAATACCTACCAATTAAATTGGTAAAAATTATACAGTTACTACCTGTTCGCATTTAAAATTTAGACTTTTGAACAGATGTGTTCCGTTATCGATGATGTACAGTACTTTACGTATACCAATCAAAGAAATTTTTATTTTAATTTTAATTAAACATTTAAAAGGCAGTATCCTTGATGTTGAAAGTGAGCGCGTCAGTTAGTTCCGTCTTTAAATTGGGCGATTAAATTGTAGATTGCTGTAATATCAGACGAGATAGTCACACCGAATTTATTACAAACTTATCTATGCTAGAAACTTAGATATTTAGAACGGCCTGAGGTAGAGGGGTTTTAGTTTGTAGGTCCGAGGACTTCTTCCTCGGGAATCCAACACTACCCAGTCGTACGGACGGCTGGGTGTCTTTTGAAGATTTCCCCTCTTCCACGAAAACATTAAAAAAAAAAACTTAGATATTAAGATGTAACCTCACGCTGACGCTTGACGCTAGGTTTGAGCGTCAAATCACATCACGTGATCAATTTAGGCTGTGCTGCCACCTAGAAAAAAATCTTGTAACGTCAAATAGTAAAAAGCTAATTTAAAGATCAACAGTTAATTCAGAATGTATATAATCGAACTCGATAGTAATCGATATTGAAAAAATTCCAGTAAAAAAACTATGTTCCCGTCGTAATTTGAATAAAGGATGAATCCAAAATTTTTTTGTTTAGATTCTTTTTTACAATTTTGTATAACTAATTCATTGCATAACAAAGCACTAATAATTCTTTTGCGCCTAATTCTTTTCCTTATTTCAGCTTCACAAATTATTTTTTGGCACTGATAAATCCACAATTGATAATCATAATCGTTAGTTATGTTTGAGGTAATATTTTAATAATTTTCTATAATGTTTAATATTTATTGTAGTTATAAGTTTTTTGTTTGCAATTGTTACGTGCTTTTATAAAAATTAGGTTAGAGGTAAGTATATATCGAGATATCGACTTGCGATTTTTTCTCTGGTTATTTTTTTAGATTGACGCTGATGTTTGACGTCAGACATGATTCTTCTAATCTGAGATAGATGGAGCCATAATTTGACGCTCAACGCTAGCGTCAAGCGTCATTATGAGGTTACAACTTAACTCGTCATACCTCAATATGTCAACAGCTGTTACATTCGTACCATACCTTTTGTCTGCCCTAGCGCCATTTTGGCGGGTTTAACTGTTATTCATTTCTTAGAGCTGGACACTTTTTCAACATTCCCCCTATATGGGATAGTTCTACTTACCTCTACCCTACATATCACAAACTTAGATAAAACTAAAT